TCCTCCTGGTGTAGGCTGGCCCCCTGCGCCGGGATGAGTCGGCACTTTCTGGCGTATAAAAGGCCCCGGGTTCGAGAGAGATCGAGAAGGAGGTGGATCTACTTACCTACTATGGTGGACCTTACCTCCGCAGGGACGCCTGCAGAAGTATGTGCCTGCCACCCCATTTGTACACAATGCACCTCGGAGCTGGCCTCCTGGTCATTGAACAAATGTGTAGGTTGGTAAGAATCTGTGCCTAATCTGTTCTTTGGTAGCCTTTAGTTCTCTCTCTTTCTGGCTTGGGATATCTCTGGATTTTACATCTATTTTAGATCTAGTAATAAACTTTCTAGCAGTTTGGGGGGGGGGGGTGTGGCTTATGTTCCTTCTCCACTCGGAATCCTTTGATCCCTGAAACACATACAAAGACTAAAAGAGAAGGATCAGAATGTTGAAATTACTTAGGAAGGGTTATCAAAACATTAATCTCATCTTATTGAACTATCATCTGGCTAATACTTGGAAAAAATAAGGAAAATTAAATACCATCATTATCATCATAGCATACAAACAAGAACATACACTGAACAACTGTGTTGTTTCCATCTTACTTGCAAAGCACTGTGATTATTCATATATAATCCAATACCTCTTTAAACAAAAACAAAAAGGAAATGCAAACAGCAGTCTACATACAGGTACTGGGAAACAGGAAATTGAAGGTGCTGGGACAGTTCTTAGATAAGCTTGATAGCAACCTTCAGGGTGAAGGAAATAATACTGATTTCTGATCCATGATGCACTATAGTACTAGATGAGCATTTCTCCCATTCTGGAAAACTCAGAAAAATATTAAGAGCAGGTAGATGGCTACTTACATTTTATTAGCTGTGCTTCAGTACTTCGTTAGAAGATAAGGAATATTCTATTTCAAGGCCTTGGAAAATAAAGAATTATTCTCTAATTTCAAGAAAGAAATAGCAGGAATTGGAGCAGTTAAGGCAAATCAGCCATGAACAAGAGGCTGAAAAACAGCCCTTCCACAACATGAAAGCAGTACAGAACATCAGTTGCATATTACCTACATAAAAAGCAGAAGTTACTGTTCTTGTCCAGGTTCCCCTGAATGGCATCCTGTCCCTCAGGCATGTTAACTGCACCACTCAACTTTGTGTGCAAAGTTGCTGAGGGCGTACTCGATCCCACTGTCATTGACAAAAGCATTAAGCAGTACTGGTCTCGGTATGGATCACTGCAGGACACCACCCATCACCGATCTCCATCTGGATATGGAGCTGTTGATCACTGCCCTCTTGAAGTACCCACCCTGTAACTCCTCATCCCATCAAATCCATCCAATAACTCCTCATCCCATCAAATCCACCTCTCTCCAATTTAGAGAGAAGGATGTTCTGGGGAATCATGACAAAGGCCTTACAGAAGTCCAGATAAATGACAAGAGGTGTTCTAACCCTATGAGGGACAGTCTCTTGCGATGCTCTTGGAAATCACTTACGTACAGTCACAGCAGTTCCATTCAAATTCCTCCTGTGGTCCGAGTCCGAATAGTTTTCTTTTTTAGGAAACAAAACAAAACAAAACAAAAAGCAGCACTTAAGTTGCAGTAACTTTCATTGTCAATTTTCAATCCTGCACTCAATTTATCTAGGATTATCCAGCTGTATGAGACAGAGGACCACTGCATGTATTAGTCTGCATATCACATCACCAATGCTACTCCACGTTTCAAAAAGTGCTTGCTCTTGATCTAGCACTACCACAAGAAACAGTTGTGTGTGTGTTACGGAAAGGGGCAGCTCAGTTGAACGCCAGAAGAGCGCCTGTCTTTCATCTCAACCCATCTCCTGTATTCTTTCCTAACACATGCATTTCCATGGAGTGCATGGGGTCTGGAAACTGATCAAAGAGGATTTTGAACACACAGACACTACATTCCTTGGTAAGTAAGTCAATGGCATGCATTCTTGTGAGTTCTTAAGACACTACTTTTACGTTTTAGGGAAGAGGGTGGGTGGGGGAAACCACCACCACCACCAGAGACCCAAAAGATCTAATTTAAAACAAAGAAAAAAACAGTTGAATTAAAAAATAAGTTATAGCATGCGCTACCAGTTCAGTAACCTCGACATCTGTCAGTGTCATATAACCTGCTTGCTTATGGGAAAAGTGCCTGTTTGGCAAGAGGACTATAATGTAATGTAATATGGCTTGCTTCTGCAAACACTGGGGTACTTCTCAGCTCTTCAGCCACCAAAGCTTTTAACCATATATGCTGTCATGTCTGCCACATCTCAGTTGTGTCTTTTCCTTAAGTTTTTAATCCTATGCTACAGCTTTTCGTATCCTTGAAAACACTGCATTGTCTTCACCTGCTTGTGTTGAACAAAGAAAGTAGAGTGGATGTATTAGCACCGACAGGAATGAAACACAATAAACATTCTATACTTACCTGACATAGCACCTCCTAGTGGCTCCAAAATCAAAACTTACTGCCTCGCACTACATGAACATGCGTGCTCTGAAAACTGTAGCAACACACATCAGTCGTGCAGCCCTTTAGCCAGCTAAAGAATAGAATATACAAATGCTGGGGAGCATAAAACAACACTAGACCACCAAGTGCAAAAATAAAGAACAGTATATCAGATTTTAAACTAGCTTACAAATTCTCTTGGGCAGAGCTGATTTAGGTATGAAAACAATGTGAGCTTCTTGTACATCATTAAGGACAACATGTAAATTACTATGGTTTTGTTGGGGTTTTGTTTGTTTTTTCCTTCAAAGTAATATGGGATTGACAAATGACTTTGGAAAAATTCATGGTAAACCACCTAAAATTGCAAATTAATCTTCAGAAGCCAATCTTGAATATACCTTATCAGTGAAAAGCTCCTCAAAATACAGAATGGATATGTCCATTATTGCACAGTAAGCTAGATATGGTAATTTTTTTTTTTCCCTACTGTAGATTAACAGTTAATGAAATTAATTATATCAAGACAAGCCAAAGAAGCGATCTCACTTAGTAAAAACTCTCAACTCAGTATTAACTAAAGGTTTTCATCTTGCAGTTTGCTTTTTAATTAAGGCAGCACCTAAACAAACAAGTCCTCCAAATCTTAAAAACAAAAAAGCATTTGCACAAACTAGAAGACAAACCCCTAGATTTCTACTCACAATTTATATTCTCACCAGGTCCTGTAAATGCAGCTACTTTATTACAGACACAAAGAACATGTGATTCCATATTTATTTACAAGAAAAGAAACCAATCTACTTCTGTTAATTTAAACTTGAGGCCACTGCACTTAAACCTCTGAGTTACAATTAAATACACATTGATGATGGAATGCTTTCTACTTACATCTTTATTCTATCCGTGCAAAGAACAGCATTAATCAGCAAATATTCAGTGTGCAAAATCTGGCCTTCCATAACAGAACCTCTATGAGATTAAGAGATCACAGCTGTTTTTTCATCACAATACTGCTGGCACAATTAACTTGGGTTTTAAGTTTACCACAGTATATCACAGAGCACCTGAAAAAGAATTTTATGTATTTTGCAGTATTGAAGAAGATATCTGAATTGGGGCAAATTCTAAACTTTAAAAAATGTAACTGTCTCCAAATTAAGTCAAATAAAACCTTTTACTAAATGTTGGTTCCATCAAAACTGAAAATCAATGACGCAGAGATTCGATCCTTTCTGTAGAATGCATTTATTCAGACAAGTTTATTCTCTACTCCACACCTCTGCAAGGCATTAGATTATGCAATCATATTAAAATACTGGGAAAAATAGATGCTCCTACAGTGCAAATGAGTTCTAATGAGCTCTAATTATATGAAGTTGTGGATGTCACTAGATCACTCAATATTTTGAGATATTTATTTTTCATCTATGATCTAACTTCATCTTTCTCAGAATTTTCTGTTATTTCTTTTCCCCATTCATCTCCATAGTCATCTTGCTTCTTCAATGCAGCTTACAGTGAAGGAGAAGATAAAGAATAGTTAAATCTAAATGAAATTAAATTAAAACTTTTTTGGTTTGCAATGTCTTTCCTCTTACGCAGGAAGCCATTGAAATATCTGACAGAAATCTTATAAACCTTATTTCAGTATAATTTCTATGGCACAAAATGCCAGAAAAGTCTTGTGAAGACTGATAAGCTTTCTACTGCAGCAATATAATTTAGCTATTCATTTCTATCTCAGTATTGACCAGGACTTATAGCAGCACTTTGCTCAATTACGATTCTTGTTTGCCTCATTCTAAATGCTAGCTATGTCACCCTTAAAGAAAGAAGCACCCCATCTCAGTAGAGGAAAGATTCCACCTGCAGATCTGCATCCAGCTCTGAAGCCCTCAATATAAGACAGGCATGGACCTCTTGGAGCAGGTCCAGAAGGTGGCTACAAAAATCATCAGGCAGATAGAACACCTCTCCTATAAAGAATCTCTGAAGGAGTCTGGGTTGTTCAGCCTGGAGAAAAGAAGGCTTCAGGGAGACTTTATTATGGTCTTTCAATACTTAACGGGAGGTTTTAAGATGGGGACAAACTTTTTAACAAGGCCTATAGCAATAGGACAAGGGGTAATGCTTTTAAACTACAAGAGGGTAGATTCAGACTACATATTAGGAAGGAGTTTCTTACACTGGGGACAGTGAGGCACTGGAACAGGTTCTCCGGAGAGATGATAGATGTCCCATCTCTGGAAACATTCAAGGTCAGGTTTGGACAGGTTTGCTCTGAGCAACCTGATCCACTTGAAGATGGCCCTGCTCATTGCAGGGGCGTTGGACTAGGTGACCTTTAAAGGTTACTTCCAATCCACACTATTCTATGGTTCCCTTTTTAAATTTCATAAAGTTTTATTGAATTTTCCTTTACAGACAAGACGGACTTTTCTATACCAACATGTGACATTAGTACTAAGTGTTTAAAGAAAAGTAGTATGTTTGGCTTTTAGCTTTACAGTATAAAGCCTGGTCATTTCAAAAGACTAAAAGCATGAACATTAATAGTTTTTCACAGTAATTCAATAAATTAAATATTTTAATTGTCCTTCTCACAGTAACTATTTACTCCTCAATATAGAAAAACAACCCCAAGTACATAAGAGGTTTCTATGTTGTCAAAACAAGAAGAAATCTCCACCAAGTTTAACACAAGGCAAGTCGTATTGGATTCTCTATGTTGGCTTTCAAAGTCTCCAGAAACTTTGAAGCCAGTTCATCATCTACCACCCGACCATCGCTTGAAAGAGTCACTGTCACGAGTTGGTGCTGCTCGAGTTTCTCATTTCCTTCTTCATCTTCCACAAGTTTGAGCTCTGCTCTTGCTCGGCCCACAGCGAGGATGCAGGCCTGAGGAGGGTTTATGACCGCAGTGAAATCACTGATGCCAAACATGCCCAGATTAGAGATGCTAAATGAAAGAGAAAAGGGTTACCGGTAATGTCAGAAATTACATAACACCTAGAAGAAATTATCTATATTCAGTGACTACTATGACCTAATTCTCTCCCAAGGCCAAGCCCATTAACTTTAGAATAGATCTAAACTGGATATCAGTTGGGCACATTTACACTCTCAAGGGTTTGGGATTTTTGCAATTACAACCAATGCACCTTTACAAAAGTCCAATTTCTTTACAGGAATATTTGCTTGCATTGCATGTACTAAAGCAGAAAGTAGGGCAGGAAATTGGTATTGCCAAAGAAACTTTGCCTATCTATGTTTCAAGCCAAACGCCTTTTAGTTTAACCTCACAACTTTGAAGTTTCAATGGCTGCTGACAGGTCAGTAGTTCCCAGGATCCTCCTTTCCACCTTCTCTAAAAAGGGGCTGCAATGTTTCCCTTTTTCCAGCCACCAGGGACTTCATCTGACTGCCATGACTCTTCAAATATCATGGCCAGTGCCTTGGCAACTACATCAGCCAATTCCCTCAGGACTCCGAGATGGATCTCATCAGGTCCCATAAAGTTATGGATGTTCAGGTTCCTCAGGTGGTTACTACCCTCATCTTCTCTTTGCATTTGTTTCTTCCAATGTCACTGCCCACAACTGGAAGGATACAAGAAAAAAATAACCTGTGCTCCATATTCCCTTACCAATCATCCTAAGGCCCCGAGGTCTCTCTGATTGCCCCTGGACTATGCATTGCAGCTTTACCACCAACAACATGGAAAAGCACTAATGGGTAATAGCTCAAGGGCCGTAGAGGCTAGAAAGTTTCCTAGTGGTGTCCTTAACCCAGGAGCCAGGGAGGCAGCAAACTTACCAAAGGGGAGGGTCGGTCTGGCATACTGGACCCTCCATTGCCCTCAAAAGTGGGGGGGAGAGAGAAAAACCAAAACCCAAACATACAACAACAAAAAAACCCCAAAACAAACCACAACAAAACCAATGATCTTCTGCAACTGGGAAGAATTAAGTCCAAAAATAAGAGGCAGATCAGTCTCAGTACAAAAAACGTTAATTTCACACCAGGCTCAGATGAAATAAACTTGTAACAAGATTCTTGTTTCTCCCTGATACAGGACACTTGGCCCTAGGTTTGGCTCTCAGAATCATCACATGGAAGAAGATTTTAAAAAGCAACACATTAACACAGTGGAATAGCTGAGGATAAAACAGTTCTGAATCCACAGTGCATGTATTAAATGCTGCTAGAGTTTTACCTGAAAGATCCTCCCTGGTATTCTTCTGGTAACAGTTTTCCATCTCTTGCTTTCTTTGCTAAAGCCTAAGGAAAATGGAAGAAGTGAAAGAAAAGGAGAGAAGAAAGAAATTAAAGTGCTGTAACAGACTAATTCTTTTTACTTCAGTAACGCGTTATAATGACCATACAGCCGTTAAAAAGTCATCTGCTTTTGGATTTAGGGAAGTACCTTAGCAACACGGTTGTACTGGAATGCCTTGGCAAAGAGATGAGGACAGAAAGTTTCATTTTCCCAACAATACTCGCTGTGCAATAAAAGCTGTTCCCTCACCTTAAAAACCTTGTTCCATTTTTTACAATGGAACCATCATTCTCCCTGGTGTTTTTAGATGACGAAAATATCTAGCAAAATACTGATGAGACAAATTCAGAGTACTCTAAACATATTTGTTTAAACAAACTGCCATGTACCACTTCAGAACTTTCTAGCAGATTGAAAGAATGTATTTTTTCCACCTAAGCATTCAACTACCTTAAGGACTACCCTGTGACTATTTTCTTTGTGATGCTTTTCTACTTCTAAATATAACAGAAGAAGCTGTCTGCAAATGTTTTGTTCAAAATACAGGCAAGAAGTTCAAGCTATGTTCCAAGGGAAGATCACAGAGAAAAAGAGTCTTATCCCCAGCTAGGATCTTTCTAGCTCAGAGGTCTCCTTAGATTGAAGCAGTGGGATTCAGGATGAATAATTCTTACAGTAGGAAGAAAGGACTGGGTGGACCTCAAGAGAAATGGCACTCCTTGGTCGACCAAGAAGCAATTATTCAGCCACCAACCTGTTCCTCACACCCAACCATGAGTACCCAGCTGAAAAACCTGGCAATGTGTCACGTAACTTCTCCATTAGAAGCAACCTTTTCAAAATCAGGAACTGTTCAACTGATGGCAGAGACTGAAATGGGAATATATACAGGACAAAAGATCTGTCCTGTTCATACAGAACATATTTAGTGGTTTCAGCTTGTCTCATTTATTCTGCAGGTGGAAAAGCACATGGAAAATGTCACATCGTGACAATTGCAACATTATGACATTTTAAGATAAAAATAATGGTTTCCAAGAGCATACTCAGGGAAACAGTCTCAGATTTGCTTTGGAAAACGGATAAAAGCAACACGGTCTGCCTAAATTTTCCTTCTTCTGGTAAAAATAATTAAACTAATGACAGTTTCCAATAATTTACTCATGTTAGTGCAATGCTGGTGGAAGTGAACAAAACCCCAAAAAGATCTACTTTACCACAACATGAAAAAAGTGATATATCACATTTGTGAAACTTTCTTGGAGAAGATTATTCCATGAATCCCCTTGTTTTCTAGGAATTTTCCACTCCCTTTTTAGGGATTCTGCTACTGTTTTGTAGGATTTTCCCCAGGTTCTTTCTAGGAATTGACATTTTTTTTCCCCACCCCTTTTTTTGTTCTTTTAATTCCTAGACTGCTTTCCAGGAGTTGCCCATTCTGCTTCCCAGGGATCTTCTACATGTGTTCTATGAATATTCCATCCACCATTCAATTCAATCTACCAAAAGGTAATTGCTATGAAACTTCACCCCTGCCTTTAAGGACCAGAGTCAAGAAGGGGAATATATGACTGAATTTACTTCTTTATGTTTGCATGTGTGTGGAGGTAGAGTCATTACAAGATAAACTTCCTCACAGATAATAACAGTGACACATTAGCTATAGTTGTGACACGGATTAATCCCCTTTGATGTTGTAGTATACCTCTCTTGGTCGTGATAAATAACTGTCTTCCCAGTATACATTTCTAAACATCTCTCAGGCAAGGGTTCTGAAAGGCCACAGCAGCTGAATGACTGTAGTGACTTCAGCTTGGAAATAAACACCAAGAAGTTTAAGAGAATCTCATTCAAATTAATTGCCCACTAAACAATTCAAGCTTATACCAAGCTTTACAAAACTTATGAACTTAAATTATTATAATGAATTTAAAAGTTAAAAGCATACACTGAATTTTATTTCAGGCTTTTATCCATCTCTGAATGATTAGTGAACTAGGTTCAATATGAGCATAATGCATATGTGCAATTGTGTTATTTGAATGAGGAAAACATGGTGCTAGGACGCACATGACCTATAAAGAAGTTAAAATTAACATGCAGTAGAAGGGGACATATAAGCAGCCTACACAAAGAAAGTGCCTGCCAAACTGCAGACAGACTGGTAGAGAAGCAGCTGCACTTTCAGTCTGTACCTTCCACGTGTGTACGTCAGATACGTATTTAATTCAGTAACTCAGTGAAGAAGCTGAAAAGCAAAATTATGCTGGTATGGACACCTACAATCTATGTGACCCACTGACTTTCACATGGAGTAGTGTGCCCTGTTACACACATTCCATTTGAAATGAAAGGGGAATGCTTCCTTCATTGAGGACCTATTAAACATAATGCAAATGTACATTCCTATCATGGAAACAGCAGGACACTGTAATTGATGGTAAAGAAAGGTTTGTAATACTGCATCCCAGTATCACAGCTACTGGGGATGATAATGAACTTCCCATATGTGATATACTTCACTTCCCATAATGTTTTTCTTCCTGTCCTTCGATGACTAATCACAGAATAATGTAACAATCTCAGCTGACCTTCTTTGTCTGGCTGTTATATTAGCTAAAGCATTTGCTTTCACAACACTCTCAACATAAAGCAAGCGATATGGACTGGGAAAATCTTAAAAACATACAATTTGAAATGCTTTGTGGCATGATGCACCTTCTGCAATACTTCGTTGGTTGTTCCCTTCTGCCAACACAGAATGTCATGATTTCTGTAGTTTTTGGTAAAAGACAAATACTTACAAAGTGCACCTTGTGCCTAGTTTTGGAACAGTTTTATACCCTAGCATCTACTTCCACTGCATTCCTCAGATACTGTAGGCCTTTGATTAGCACTCATTAAAAGACAAAAACAAACAAACAAACAAACAAAAACCCTGGTGTTGGGGCATTTCATCATTCATTATATTTTTGTCTGCACAGGATATGTCTGTGGCTGGCAACAACTGCCACAGATTCAAGTCACACTAACTGGTACCTGATCTATGCAAAATGCTGTTCATTAGTCTGAGGAGTTTACTATTATTTATCCAGTGACATTCTCAACTGAACTGCATATTGAAAATGTGCATATTGAAAACGTGCCATAATGGAACTGCATAGAGGGTAACAAAAGCAGCTACAAGCAAATTTCTGGGAAAGGAAGAGGGGAAAAACCCCTCCCAAATAAACCAAGTATCGGTAATACTAAAGAAATTAACATTACCTAGTTTTCTCATGAGGAATAAAGAAATACAATTACATTAAATGGCAGAAGTCTGTTCAAGTTTATTTTTCAGTTTAGTCAGCATCCTAATAAATAACATGATGGCTAAGTTATTGTTCATTAAAAATTAACAGAGTTGCAAAAATAATAATTTTTAAGTGTAAGGTATGTTGAAGCTGTTTTACATCCATTCTGCCTTTGTTCTTACTGATGTGTATCTGGGTCATGCTACATTTTCTGCTACAAAAAATTCTGCAACTACTATATTCCTCAGCCTACAGTACATTTAAGACCTACCTTTGCAGAGGCAGCAATTTCCTTTATTCCTTTGGCAGCAACATCTTTTATGATTGGCGTAATGAGACCTCGGTCTGTTGCCACAGCAATAGATATGTCAATGGATTGCAGCTGCCTGCAGGCTTCTCCATCCCAGCTTGCGTTCACATCTGGCATTTGCTAGAAGAGAGACAATAAAAAAAAGATAGCTGTTCAAAAAAATAAAATAAAATAGTGCAATCAATTATCAAGAAAAAAGGAAAATCCTTTAAGACATATAGTTACATACAGGCATTTACCAAATTAATTACTGCATCACAGACTGTTGTCTGTAAACGAAGGCAAAAGAACAGGTTACATCTGTCATCAGGACTGCTACAAGCAAGACAGAAAATAAATCACTGTGAGGGTCTTAGAGTAGCTGTACATGATTAGGTTGAATCATATCATATTTAAACTTACTCTGTCAAAAAGGAAGAATGTATGCTCCAGAAACTGAAAATAGCAGGGCAGTCAGAAGGTTTTTTGGTGCTGCTGGAAAAAATTAACAAAAGCCTACAAAATCCTTCAGGAGTTACTGATACCACCTCACAGATGCCCAGCATGCAAAGCTACAGCAGTGTCATTTCTCCCCCTAAATAAATCACAGGATATTGACTTAAAAAAAAAAATAAACAGACACCCTACTACACCCACACATTTTTATTTCCACTCATGTCCCAAGTAGGACTTCTAACGAAGGAAGCTATGAATAGAATATGCTGCAGGTACACTCGTTGTTATTCGGACAATGTTCTCCTAAAATGCATCACATCTTTTTGTGTGTGTGGACTCAAATAGGGGACTGTAGTGACAGGACAAGGGGGAATGGCTTTAAACTGAAAGAGGGGAGATTCAGATTAGATATTAGGAAGAAGTTCTTCCCTGTGAGAGTGCTGAGGCACTGACACAGGTTGCCCAGAGAAGCTGTGGCTGCCCCATCCCTGGCGGTGTTCAAGGCCAGGCTGAATGGAGCTTGGAACAACCTGGTCTTGCGGAAGGTGTCCCTGCCCATGACAGGAGGGTTGGAACTAATGAATCCCCTCCCAACCCCATAAATCTACAATTTATCTATCTAAATTAACTCAATTCCTAGAAGCAGCAGTGTAATGGTACTCTCAGTTTCTATTATAGAATGGTTTGGGTTGGAAAGGACCTTAAGATTATAGTTCCAACTCCCTCCCATGGGCAGGGACAGCTCACCCTAGGCCATATTGCCTGAGGCTTTGTTCAGCCTGGCCTTCCAACTATTTTTCAACACCAGAATGTATATTATGGGGAAAAAAAAAAATAAATCAACAAACAGAAAACGAATGGGTAGTACTCCGCAAGTTAAACAGAAACTTTAGGCAAGTCCCACAGTACACAGTTGTAAAATGCCTTTAAGTGGGTGTTGTGCAAGTGTGACTCTTCCTATAAGGTATCCAAAAGAGATGGTAAGGACAAGGAATTTTTCCTATCAATTTCAATACCATTCAAATAATTTTAATTTTTATGTAAATCAGACAGTATTATTTCTCCCATCATTTCAGCAATGAAAGACCGAGGACAGCTGCTGTAGTGGCTGCCATTACTAAGCCTAACTATTTATGGCCATCAGCCTGGAAGCTTTCATTCCTTCTTCCTCTATCCTTACTTCTCCCTCTCCTTCCAGAAAGCCAGAACTGTTCTAATAGGCTATCACCTGGTGCCCACTGGCACGTTCACAAACCTGTGGCTGTCAAATGGTGAGACCAAGCTGAAAAATAGAATTCATAATTGGACTTGTGATCCTAAGAATTGTGGAGAATAAACTTTACATGTTAAAGAACCCATACAAGTAGCATCTTGAGGTGTTTGCCAACCAATCATACACTGTCAAACCAGTCGCTACCAGTTCATTAAAGCTAGAAGAATGTCTTGCATTGTTCAGAAAGAAAATATTAACAACATAAGATTTGAACAGTGCCCAGAAAAGAGTCATAAAACTGCCTTGAATTTAAACTTCCAAATGTATTCACACCACCAAATTTTGGGAGGGGAGGAGCAGGTGGAAGTAGATTTTCTTTTTTAAACTAGTAGGCCACATACTCTCCTGAAACACTGACAGGAAGTAGTCGAGACATCAGCTTGATCCTTAACTTATTTCCTGGTATACTAAGTTAAATCTGTTTGGGTTACTTGTTTGTTTGTTCATTTGGTTTGGGGTTCTTTTATTATTTTAAAAGTCAAACATAATGCTAGCATAGATTTGTAACAAAGCAACAGGATTGGACAGGGTAGCTTAATGATTACTTCTATAAAAACACAATATTCATGTCCCATAAAAAAACCCAACCAAACAAAAATCCCAGAAAGCAAAACACCTCAATTTCTTCTAACTCAAGAAACAAGAACTCCAGCTTCTAAGAATCCGACTTGGGCACCAACTTAAGTACAACCAAAGATGCACTGATTTTACAAAGCTATATGCATTAAAATTTACTAGGCTTGTCTACTGAATTTCCATTAAAAGTGACACAGTACAGATTACTTTCAAAAAAGTTTTCAGCATAGAACTATCTAACCCTTAAGTTCAAGATTCAAATTCTGTACTATGTCAATGGAAAATACTAGGCAAAATAGTACAAATCTAATCACGGACTAAACATTTTTATTTGTATATCAGAAAGAGAAGTCATATTTACAGAATTCATTGGTTAGGTCACTTTGTGATGGCAGATAAGGAAATCTTGTTTTAAATAATGGTAATGAACAATATGCATAATGCCCATGTATGCTCAAAGTACTGTCAAGCAGCCTTAACAGTTAAATGGACTGGAAGCTCCTCATCTCTTGTTTCAGGCAGCAAATTGAAAGAAACCACAAGTAACCAAAAAAAAACCCCTTTAATTATATAAGCAGAAGTAATGACAAGTACATCAAAAGCTTGCATCCTGTAAACTAGGATTATATCCCTTTATCTTCCTTTACCTGGCTTTATTTACGTAGAATACAAAAACCACAAAACCTAATCTTTCATTCATATTTCCCTGTGTCCTGTTCCTTCCACCTGCTCTGTGGTGCAGAGATTTGTGATGAATTTTTGGATGTTACCATTTCCTCACATTAAGGTCTCATTAGGTCACAAAAAGAAGTTCCTTGCTGTGTTCACATCTAACAAATGCACAGCAAGTTTAGCTCCTCCTGTTCCTGGTACAGAATAACTTGCAAAGTTTTTTCCAGCCTATACAAAGCCCAGAATTTCTCTCAGGCATTTGCTTATGAAACTGCCTAGAATCCTGCCTATTTTCTATCAAAATCTGTATTTCTTGCAATTACATATTAATATTTAGATTATGTTTGGCTAGAAATTTCTCGGGTCTGTTCCAGTGCAGTGTTCAATAAATTCCATACATCCATGGGAATAATTCCCCAACTGAAATGTAGCTTCAGCTTTTGGACATTTAAAATAATCCTCTCAATCCCTTTCTGATGATACCATATTGTTGTGATGTTGTGCAACTAGTCTTGTCTGTTTGTAGCTGCTGCTCAAACGATGCAATAGCATCAGAAAAATTTAGCTTTTCTAGGCATTTACCGTAGAGCTAGAAGGTGTGATCACTGTGCAATCAAGAAGGCATAGGCAACAAATCCACGGCACTACCAAATTGCTTCAAAATTTGCATTCATTCACACAGAAGTGATGACAAGGGCAAACTCCATAGGATATTTTAATGATCAAGCCTGCGTCCCCTTTAATTATCTTTTTACACGACGAAGATTGTTGCAGCTGTTAGTGATCACTCTAAGACACTTATTTCCTCCTAAACCTTAAAAATACTGGCCTTCAGGCTGGTCAGAGCTCCCACCTATGACTTATTCTAAAATTAAGTGCAAACTGAATTTAAATCAAAACCACTCCACATCTGAACCAAAACTACCACAGTTCTTTCTTTTAAGAAGTCTGAAAATAAAATTAATTTCACATTATGTTTTCCAAGTGATTATATTTGAGACACTATGGACTAAAAGGAGACACTTCCAAAGCATGGGAGTACTCTTAAAGAAGGATCTCTGAAGCCTTTCAGTTTTAAAAAACTAAGTAGCACAGAGAGTGTATTCCAAGCAGAGCAATCAACACAAATTGGGAAGTAATGTATGCAGCTCTACCCAGAGAACATGCAAATAGACAGTAAAACCTCTGTAGCTTGGGATGGAGTAAGTAGACACTTATGAAATTTAAAGTTGTAACTTCAGGATGTATTGCAATCATTTAACTTTTACATTGACAAAGGCAACGATGGCAATCCTGAATGAGCAGAAGATTGGTTGCCTGAAGAATTGTTAATTCAAAGCAGAGCTCGCTGAATGTGCCATCAGTATACATCTGAGGTAATACACAGACTGCTGTAAGACCTGGATAAAAATTTGTTCAAAACTGTAAGAGAAAATAAAATGCAACAGCAAAGAATAGAAGACTTATCTTGCCAATTGCTTTAGTCTGCTGACAAAGCATCTGCCATTACCTGCAGTAAGTGCATCTTTATTCTCATTTTTATGGCACAGACAGTGTAGAAAGTTTTACCTGGAGAGCTTAAAAAAACCTGACAATAACTGATAAAGAATTACAAGCTTTGCTATGATCATATTGTTGGCTCACAAAATACTTCTCGTCTCCTTGGCAGTTTACTATAAAACATTTTTTTTTAAAGTCAATTATTCACTTACCTTCAGAGTAACTGCAGTTGCTTTGATAATAAAATCATTTACAGATACTTTAATGTCGTCTGCAAAAAGAAAAAAAAAGAAAATGATCATTTGCATGAAGAAAAGACAAACTACAATTATAAAAGCAAGAAAACTTTTCTCTCCCTCGCGGCAAAAGGAGTATCATCAAGGAAAAGTCTCCTGAGCAGAGACTAGCTGTAACTAGAAGGTCAAAAGAGCTGCAAACTTGAGTATTATTACTCATTCTTATAAGTAGCAGCCCATGTGTGTTTTATGCTTTACATATTTACTGCCTATGTAGAAATTTATTGTAGGATCTAAATATATAGAGAAAATACTGGAGACTACTATTCTTTATGTAATGTGATGCATTAACTGGAGTAATTGCAGAGATCAGCTTTTATTCAGCTGCAAGTCAGAAGAAAGTTATTGTCCAGTAACCTCTGGAGCCTTATAATGTAAGAATTAGCAGGGTGAAGGCATCTGTCAATCCTTAAAATGGGTTAACAATATATTCTAAAGCAGGCTACAAAATAATACAAGTGGTAAAGTTTTAAATTAAAAGCAGAGCTACACACAAAAAGGCAGCATCAGCTAGAAGCAGATAAAGTAACCTTGAGAGGACTGGATTTTTTTATGTGGGCCTAAGAAATATTGTGTAACACTTCAGACATGAGTTTTCTTTCCCCAAAAGCTTGGGAGAGAGGAAGGACGGTAACAATGGCTATATTTGCTTTGCATTATTTTATTCCAAGTTTTACGAGGCCCAAAGCACTAACTAAAATCAGACCACCAGCAGAAGTGAAGATTATAGATACAATGCAGAACATGGCACAGTTGCTATAAGATTATCCTGAAGATACATATTTGCACAATATCAAACGTATCATTGTCACAATAAAAGTGCTACATTCCTCTGCTATCATCATCACTGCTGTCAGCTGAAGAGATAAAGAAGTAAAGATACTTCATTTTTGAGTCTGATTTATGGCACGTAATACCCATACCTTTAGAAATGCTTTTGTAGAGGGAAATTTAGAGATCATTAAGTGAAATCATCTTAGTGATCATAAATTTGGAGGAATGAACCAAGTACCCACTTACCACATAACTGACCTGCAATCTATATCTGAGAGTGCTAGAATTCAAATGTAACATAATAGAACTTGCAAGTACTATGTTGCATTGACAGAATTTCACATTAGACAAACCTGCCTCTTGGTCATCAAATGTATCTTGGTGTTTCATATTCCGATTTCTATATTAGAATCATAGAATGGTTAGGGTTGGAGAAGACCTT